TATCATTGGATATACAGACGCTGATTGGGCAGGATCACCCTCTGACAAACGTTCGACATCCGAATATTGTGTTTTAGTTGGAGGTAATTTGGTGTCGTGGAAGAGTAAGAAACAAAATGTGGTTGCTCGATCTAGTGCAAAATCAGAATATCAAGCAATGGCCGACAACAACTTGTGAGTTAGTTTGGCTCAAACAGTTACTGGGAGAACTAAAATGTAGCAAAATTGATCAAATGGAACTTGTGTGTGATAATCAAGTGGCTCTTCATATCACATCAAATTCAGTGTTACATGAAAGGACTAAGCACATTGAGATTGACTGTAACTTTGTCAGAGAAAAGATACTCTGAGGAGATATTGTTACAAAATTTGTGAAGTCAAATGATCAGTTTGCAGATATGTTCACCAAGTCTCTCACACGTTCTCGTATTAATTACATTTGTAACAAGCTAGGTGCATATGATTTGTATACACCAGCTTGAGGGGGAGTGTTAGAATAGGAATAAGTATTTCTTACTTAAAATAGGAATTATAGTAGGAATAAGAATAGGAATTATAGTTGGAAAAGGTTTCCAATGTAGTGTCTATATTCTATAAATAGGGTCTTCATGTAACAATTTAGATACAAATAATATTTTCTCCAATATTTCTCACAAAGACAGGCTACAATGGTTAAGGGCCGAAAATGGAAAATTCACAGTAAAATCAGCGTACAGAGACCTTGATAGGCCAGTTGCAATGCTCTTACCATGGCCTGGAAGATGATATGGAAAATTAAAATACCTCACAAGGTGGCTTGTTTCACCTGGTTTGTAGCCACGCAAGCAGTACTAACTCGGGACAATCTAATGAAAAGGGGAAGGCAATCATGTTCCATGTGCTTTTTTCTGAAAAAGAAACTGAGTTAACAAACCATCTCTTCATCCATTGGAGAGTGACAGAGAAACTTTGGCAAGTGTTTTTAACTTGAGGGTTTGGTTCATGCCAAGGCATACATCATAAGCCTAACAGGCTGGAATAGAGAAGGAAATATGTCAGGCCACAAGGAGAGATAAAAGATAGTCTCTGGTTGCATCTGGTGGACAATATGGAAGGAAAGGAACCAGAGACGTTTTGAAAACAAGAGCATCCCTTTCCCGAGCTTGAAATTGAATTGCCTTGCAAACTTTTATTTTTGGTGTAACTATGTCCTCCCTAGAAAGGTGGAGGACATTGCTCACTTTTTCGATGGTTTGTGAGGGGTATAGGTGATAGATATATTTGGTTTTGCTGTAATTACTACTGAAATACAGAATTGGTGTATTTTGTCTAAAATGTTAACTTCCTCAAAAAAAAAATCTCCATCAGCATTGAGTCCATTTTATTGTGGCTAACTATATTTTAATGACCTTGTATGAGTAGCTGGGCTTAAGTAAGTAAACTGGGTCTGTTTGTAATAATATCAATTCATTTCGTTCTTTATTCATTATTGTCTGGTGGACTAATCCAGAGCCAGACTCTAACAGAAGTGGGGGCCTCAAAAGCCAGGTACCTCTGTTCATGTATTAGGTTTCTATTTGAAATTTGACACTTGTTTTGAATCGCAATTTTTAAATTACAGTCGTTTTCCTTTCTCTCTTTCATATAGGGCCTTACTGTCAATTCTTCCTTTGTCACCACTGCTTCATCTCCACCGGCAAACACCTCGGTGATTCGCACCAGAGAGGTATAATAAAGATAAGACCTTTATCTACTGTCTTCACCTCCTTTTGGAACTCCTCTACATCTCCTTGAGTTTCTATTCTCTCTCATTTTAGATGGTTTTTACTGTCTTCACCTCCTTTGGAACTCCTCTACATCTCCTTGAGTTTCTATACTCTCTCATTTTAGATGGTTTTAATGAGGTATCCTCATCTGTTTCCAGCCATCCTCTACAGTGATTACCGCTGACTTTGAAGAAATTTACCCATAGCTCTATCTAATAAATGTTCGTTGACTAAATAAGCAGCAGCCGACAGTCATCACCATTCAGATGAACCTTCACCCGCTTCCACTACCACTCCCCCTACAAGATGTGTTCCACCATATATTTACTTGGAAACTCAAACTGAAAACAACAGCCACCCATCTCATACATGTTGTTTACCACCAAAGACATTCTTTCAAGTACTTTTTGACAAGGAGAAACCCGCAGCCGCTACCCTTTGGATGCGCACAGGGTAAAACCCCCGCTCCTATGCAATAACTCACAACCACATAGGAGTGGTAACCCGCACTAGGCAAGCCCGGTGCGACAAGCTCGACCCAGAAGGCAAACACTTTGCTTTCACTGACAAGGGGTTTCAAACTTGAGACCTCCAACATGGAAGTCCCAAGCCCAAACCACTGGGCCACCCCGAAGTAGACATTCTTTCAAGTACTAGCAAACCACTTTCAGATATCTGCTACCATTGGTTTATCCTTCAAATATTTGCTTAAGCTGCCCACCACACACCTTTCCAGAAATCCATTCACAAGATCCTCAGCTCCTCCAGATATGTTGCGCGTGTTGATTTGAGCTTCAGCAGATTCCTTTGTCGGCCATTTACTAGCTCTGACCAAATCTGCATAAAGAATCTTTCGCTAATAAAGGCCCCTTCGTATTGTTTTATGAAGTTCTCATTCTTAAATGCAATGCTACTCTACCCTGCATTGAACGTAACCTCTGGAATAATAATAACCTATCTATTTTCTCCTTGTCCAGTCAATATTATGTTCCCTCAGCAACAGAAGCTTAACTGTTTCTCACTTAGCTTCCATCTTCTAATGTGTGGACCAGAATCCTTTGATGCCACCCGTACAACGAAAACCAGTCACTCCATGGTCCTACTGAAAGTAGTTCTATGCATCAAATATCAACTTCAGCTCTGGGAATGAGACTGGTAAGATCACATGATTTAAAACCTACAGCAAAAATACATCATATTTTTACCCATATTAGGCTACTACTGCTTTAGATTAATCATACTAAATGATTAGTAGAAAACTACTAAAACTTCCGGAAACTTTCGGAGATCGCTGGAGAAAAGGAAAATTCCTCCTGACCTCCAGAAACTTGCCTGAGAGAATTTCTCGCTTGAATTTTAAACACCTACAGTATCCCCAAAATTGCATTTTCATGCAGAAGTAAATAAAATTTACTTTTTAAAAGCAATTGGGAGATACCAAGTGTTTCTGATCTCTTTGGTAAACTCGAAGATTTCTCAGGCCTAAAGGAGGAGGAGGATTCTCTCACTTGGATAGGCGGCACCAAGTCTGTTTTCTCTGTCAAAACAGCTTACAACTACTTAATGGATTTGGAGCAGTTCAATGACCCTGGCCATGGAAAGAGATATGGAAAGCAAGAGCTCCTTTCAAAGTGGTTTGCTTTACTTGGCTAGTTGTTTGGAAAGCCTGTCTCGCTCATGATAAACTTCAAAGTAGGGGTTTTCATCTGTGTTCTAGGTGTTTTCTATGCCATCAGGAAGCTGAAACCAGTGGGCATCTTTTCTTGCATTGTTCAATTACCAGACAACTATGGCAACCTGTTGCAGCATTAGCTCAAATTGTTTGGGTGATTCCCCGAGTACGTTTGAACTTTGACCTAATATGTAGTTGGAACAATATACAAGGAGAAACCTGTCACAAAGAGTGGTGGAAGATTGTTCTAGATTGCATATGGTGGACAATTTGGAAAGAAAGAAATGCAAGATGTTTTGAAGGCAGGTGCAAGTTCAATCCAGAAGATCAAGAGCTCCTGCATTTCTTTTCTTTATTTTTGGTGTAAAGAAAAGTTAGTCGATGATGTTGAATCATTACTAGACTTTATGCCTCTTTGGAAGTTCTGTTTGAGGCTGTATCTGTAGATATGATATACCAGGCCTTCTTTTAGCTAGCGTTTGGCCATAGATTTTCAAATATTATTGGCAAATATTATTTGAGTGAGAATTTGGGTGAAATTTCACCATGTGTTTGGCCATAGGATTTGGGAAATATATTTCACCTGTTTAGAAAAATATGATTTGTACACACAAGTTTTAAAAACTATCAAAACTAACAAAAAGTTTGTATTACAAGTCAATTGGATGTTCGTTACAACAATAACAAGTAGTGTCCATGACACTAAAGCAATGTGGTAATTTGGAGTGAGTGCAACAAGAATTATTCCATACATCGTGAAGTAGACAAAGCACATGACTTTGTTACCTAGAGCCAATTTTTAATAATTTTCATCAACAATCATATCATTATTTAATATTCACTAAATATTTCATCATTATTTTGGTATTCACGTAAAAAATTATGTAATACAACGCAAGCAACTACTAGAGAGGGTGTTTTTGTAAAAGATAAAAGATTGGGGTAAAATTTTAATTTTCAAAATATCCCAAATAATGAGATTTGGCCCAAATACTAGAAAAAACTAGTATTTGAAAATTTGGGATATTTGCCAAATAATGGCAAATTGTATGGACAAACATTATTTGCCAAATTATTCCCAAATATTATTTGTAAATTTTATGGCAAACGGGCCCTTAGGGTGCTGATGAAAATAACATGTTACTAATTTCAAAAAAAAAAAAACAGTAAAGTGGTGCAAGATATCTCCTTTGAGGTAAAATGCTCCACTTGTTCAATGAAAGGTGTGGACAAAAGTCTAAAGCAAAAGGGAATCCTTTTAAGATGCACCCAAGGGTGTGGCCACGTGATTAGTGAAGTTGGTTGAGAACTATTGAGGTCTCAAGTTCAAATCCTAGCGGAAGCAAAAACACTAGATGATTTCTTTCCATCTCTCAAGCCTTAGTGGATAGATTTACTTGGTACCTGTACTAGTGGGATGTAACAAGTACCCCGTTGAATTAATGAGGTGCCTACAAGTTGGCCCGGACACCACTGTTACCAAATATAAAAGAGAATCCTTCGAGGATTGACAATTTCTTTTCTTGAGTAGTACGCCCAGAAAATAGGAACTGGCTAACACATTGGTATGCAAAGTTGAAAGAGTCCCTTCGAGGACATCCGATAAAATTGGAACGATACAAAGAAGATTAGCATGGCCCACTGCGCAAGGATGACACGCACAAATCGAGAAATAATCCAAACTTTTTAGTTGTTAGCTTCTCAAAAAAAATTGAAAGAGTGAATAGGTTAAAATCCTCCAAAACTACCATCAGTGTGAGATTCATACCTAAACTACTGGGTGTTCAGAACCCGCTGAACTACTATGAAACTCATACTAAAATCCCCCCACCACCGAAAGAATATGACAGGCTACGTGAACATCATGCTCCAAAAGCTCTTCCAAGGAGTTTCACGTGGCAGCACACATGGAAAAAAAATTGAGTGAATGGTTAAAATTCCCTAAACTACCATCGATTTATTAGTTTCATGCATAAACTATTGAGTGTTTGCAGAACCCCCCTGAACCCATTGTGCAAGGTGTACTCCTTTTTAAGACTTTTTTCATCTTCCACACGGCTCTCAGGAAGTTATCCTAAATATTTTGCTACTGGGGGATTTTTAATTAAAAGAAAGTTATAGTCCAGGGTAACAGGAACATCCAATGGTATAGGTGTTAAACTCACAAAATGGTGATAAGGCTAGGTTTTTAAAAATATATTTACTCACGTTAAAAAGTGTCCAACTAATAATTAATGAGCAGTTCAATACTTGAAGAACAACTTCTGAAAAGTGCACCGAAAAGGGAAAAAAGAAAAAGAAAAAACATTGTAGTACTTAGCCAGATGAACATACTACTCTATAAAGTTCATCCTTAATTTAGAAAGCTTTTTATCTGATAGTTAACATGTTCGGTCACAATAATGTGAACTAAAATAAAAAGTGACCAAAACATCATCATACTTGCAATAAGTCATTCCCAGCCTCGCAAGAAAATTATACAATTGAAGTGAACACAATTTTATGACTGAAAATGTACAAAATCATCCATCGGATTTGATATCGAGCCAGCACTTCTGATAGATGACTACTTACCTCGTGAATATCAACCAACTTATACAGTTGCTGCACCAACTTGCTAACTGACTCATCTGTACCAGGAACAACTGTTGTAATACGAGAAAGCCCCTCAACTTCAGCATGTCCAACAGCTAAACTCTGGAGAGGAAATTGGAAAACAATTAATTACGAAGAACACCATAATGAGGAGCCAAAAGGATATGAAAACTTAGCTTCTGTTCCAAAAAAATATATATTTGAACCTACTTGGATGTTATACCCTCGTCGAGCAAAAACTCCGGTGACTATGTTGAGAACTCCAGGAGAGTCATTCACAAGCATTGACAAAGTGTGTGAGCGGAGCCCACTCGTCTGGAAGAATTAAGCCAAGGACTAAAGTGAATATCATTTGTAGGCACGTTTCAAATGAATAGACTATCAGTCGAGACATAGAAAACATGAAGACGTGTAACTCAAGAATGAAAAGACTAGCAAAATCTGTTCTCAATCTGAAACATCCTTAGAATTGCAGAACATTTATGGGCCATGTCACTATGGAAATTACTCGAGCAAACATTAAGACAGACAACTGAGACAAAAACTAAAATGCAATCAGTGAAAATTAAGGAGGCAAAGCTGCAGCTTTTTAAAATAAGCAAAGACAAATTCAAGTTGACACTAGGTTTTTGTTAAGAGGGCACAAACCAAGTTTCACATATTGTGCATACAATCTTTTAAGGGAGAGATTTAAATGGCCAGGCTGGTAGTAGCGAGGATACTGAACATGGTGGTTACTGTTATGGCACTAGGAATAACTAAGGGAAGGCTACATTTGAATTTGCATTCTAACCTAATTACTTGTAAGACGGGGGAACCATAGTCAAACAGACTTTATCCTTTAAGAAGACGAGATAGAAGTATATGCAAGGATTGTAAGGTTATTCCGCGAGGAGTGATGACCACCCAACATAGGCTAATAGTCTTTAGATATAATGCTTAGGAGTAGATTGAGAAAGGTAACAGATTAAGTTTCAGATATTGTGCTTACAATCTTCATCGGAGGAGATATTAATGGACATGTAGTTAGAGATAGCAGCAGCTTTGAATAAGTCCATAGAAGTTATGGTTACGGTACTAGGAACGACGAAGGGAACACTATATTAGAATTTGCTTAAGCTTATGATGTAGTGGTAGCTAAACAGTTTAAGAAGAGAGATTCTCACATAATTATCTATAAGAATTGGGGTAACCATAAACTGAATTTATCTTTACAAGAAAATGTGAATAGAAGTATTTGCAAGGATCGTACGGTTATTACATGAGAAGCAATGACCACCTAACGTAGGCTAATAGTCCTAGACGTGAAGATTAGGAGTAGAGTGAGAAAGGTGATGACTTACAAACAACTGCAAATTAGGTGGTGGGCACTAAAGGGCGTTAAATAATAATTGTTTCAAGAAAAATACGGGAGAGGGGAGCTTGGAACATCAAGGGAGACAGACATTATACGAAAGAAAAAGTCAAGTTGCATTAGAAAGTAACAACTGAAATGCTAGGTGCGTTTAAAGGTCTAGGAACTCAACCACATGAATCCTGGTGGAGGTATGAGAGGTACAAATAGTTATTAAAGCTAAAAGTGAGTGTTAGAGGATGTTTCCAAAGGCAAAGGACGGAGAATCCTTAATGAATATAAGAGACCTACGAAGGAAATAATAGTAAATCCCGAAGGGAAGTTTTAGGTGGCTTGTATCAAAATCTAGGAACACAAGAAGGGGAGAAAGAAATGTTTAAACTAGCACGACTAAGAGAGAAAAAGGATAAGGATTTAAACCAAGTGAAGTGTATTAAGGATGATTCTCAACAAGAGTTTCGGGATTGAGGTACTTTTATGATAATTGCTAAACTCGAATCACGAGAATAACATTTTAGACCAACACACATTTGTGAACATTGGAGACTTTAGCTATACTGGTAGAATTAAGCCGACAGAAGTAAACAATGTCACGAAGAATTTGAGGATTGAAAAAGCTTCTGGCCCTTAGAAGAAACTTGAATGAGTAGAAAATTCCCAAAATGATTGAACTTTTCAAGTTACTGGATAGTTTCCAAGGAACACAAACAGGTGAGGATTATTTATGGTGGCATTGGCACATCAAAGATAGATATAGGGTGAAGGAAGGATATAAACAGGCAAGTCTTAGAGATAATCAAGACTTCAAATGGCCTTAGAAGCAAATCTGGAGAATCAAAGTGCAACACAAAGTAGCATGCTTTACCCTGCTGCTAGAAACAGTTTTGACATTGGACAATGTGGCCAAGAGAGTTATATGCTCCCTGTGTGGTAAGGATACAGAGACAATGAGACACCTCCTCCTACACTGCAATTTCACTGACCAACTATAGCAGATTTTCCTTAATCTCAGAGGCGTTCTTGGAGTATGCATACTAAGATTGATGAGACTCTTTTAAGTTGGGAGGGGGATGGAGTTGGGACTATAGATAAAGATGGAGGGTGATCCCTGCATGCATATGGTGGACTATATGGAGAGAGAAATGATATATGCTCTGAAAATAGGAACAACAACCTGCAAGAAGTCAAGCTTAAATGTATTTTATTATTCTGTTTTTGGTGTACAAATGTCTACTCCAATTAGACTGGGTCAATCATATATGCTTTAGGGTCCATCTAGATTTTGTTCAGCTTAGTAAAGATCATTACTCTTTTTCTTCTTCTTTTTTTTTTGTAAATATGGTTTTTCAGTACTACCTATGTATCGACTTAAATACTGATGTTACTAGTGTAAAAAAAAAAGCTTCTGGCCCTGCTAGTATTCCATAGAGGTTTGGAAGTGTCTTGGAGAGGTCATGAATAGAATGGATCACCAAGCTATTGAATGTCAAACTAAGAAGTGGTAGGATGCCTAATGAGTGGTGGAAGAGTACCCTGACTTTGATGTATAAGAACAATGGAGACATTCAAAGTTGTGCAGACTATCATGAAATTCATCTCATGGCATACAATGGAACTCTAAGAAAGAGTGATAGAAGCAGATTTTATTTAGAATTTTTATAAATATAATTTTTAATTTATGAATATATTATATGTTGAATTTATTTGACTAAATCTTATGTTTATTTAATTTTGATTTCTCCTAAATGTCCATTTCACTGTTATTACATATTTTTAATCAAATAGTCTTTTAATCACTTGAAAGTCTATATTTGTATATCAGTTAGATGAAAATTTTATTTTTAAGAGTAACTAAAGCTTGCAAAGGAAGTATCAAAAAAATGGAGGGTATTTTTGTAAACAAACAACTTATTCTTAGAAATTATGCCATGCATATTATTTGAATATGACAAACCAAAAAAACAATCAAAAATAATCTAAACATAACTAATCTCATCATAACTTATCCCAGCATAACTTGCCTTCAAACCAAACGACCCCTAGGGTTTAGGATAGTAGAAGTAATACTAAATATATGCATTGCGGGTTTAGTCAACATGAGAAGAGAGAAGTTGAGGTGAGACTAGACGGGATTCCAGTGCCAAAACACAAACAATTTAGATATCAAGGCTCACTGTGTCAAGAGAATGGAATGATAGATGAAGGTGTTACTCATAGGATAAATCTCAGATTTGAAATGAAGAGGTGCTACTGGGATCCATCTTAATCACAGTGGTGGAGAAGATGATAAATCCGAGTTGTTCCTTCCTTTGATTCTTTTATTATAGAAGATAAAGCGATAAGCCTTCCATATAATATACAAGGATAATGTAAATATAAAGGCATGTTGCTTTGATTTTCTATGAAACGGTGTTATCAAAGGCGCGCTTTAAGCAGGCTTAAGCCCTGAAGCGAGGCTCAAAATGTGTTGAGGGCTTCGCCTCGCTTTATGTGCGCTTCAGTGTCGTCATCAAGGTTCTAAGGCAAGTTTTTCCTTGCCAATGAATCAAAAATGAACCTTTTATGAAGAAGTGAAACTAAATAATTGATATTTCAGTCAACCATAATTTTTTTTCAATTTCTTTGGGCATATATTTGTCATACATGTTTATAATTATTAGTCTTGGGCTAAACATATATATTTGTATTCTTTTCTCCCTTTGCGCCTTTTTTCATTGAAACCCATGGACCTTAGAGTT